ACAGTACTTTTAAACATTTTTAAAAAGTACCCGTCATCACCTTTTTTATAGACGAAGAGGGCGTCAACCGACGTTACGTGAGCGAAATCTCCCCCCCCCTCCCCCCCCCGGGGGGGTGGGGAGACATGTTTTGAATTTTTCCGTTTAACAAAATTAATATGGGGAATGTGAAAAAAAAAAAAAAATATTTTTTGGGGGGAAATGGCTTAGTTGGGATAAAACCTAAATCCAAACATTTTGATGTGACAATGTTTGACCGCATCAAGCTTGGAAAACTCTTTTTAAAAAATAAGACCTGAACAAAAAAGTATACGCAGCATACTAAAATTCATTTTTTGAACATGCTAGTATTAGCTATTTGATAATTTGCTATCAATATCGTTATTGAAATATAATAGTTAACAATGTTGTAACAAATTTTTAACTTTATTTTAGTATAGCTAATATTCAAAGTAAACTCTTGATTTACATGCATGCAGAATAAGACATCGAGCCGAAGGTACATTTAATTATCCTAGCTTTTCTTTTCAATCAAATATTCTGTTCCACTATTTAATGACACAATTTTCTAGACTAGACAAGGACAAACAAATTGACAAAAGAAAATGCGAGAAAAAAAAGGTAAATTAATGGCTAAGAAATGTAATATATATCTAAGCCTTAATTTTATACAAAGCTTCTTTTAAACACTTGTATACAATTTTAAGATATAATACAATTTAGGTTCAATAATAGCTATAATAACACATTTTTTCCCAAAAGCTTTTAAATATTGTAGAAAATGAGGATATGTTTGCAATAAAAACATTCCTACAATCACAGTTGTGACGGAGGAGCGGGGTGCTGGTGAAATATGTAGCGTAACGTTGACTGAGCATTGCAAAGTCTACAACTATAATAAGGGTGTTGCCGCATAAAGTGGCTAGCCATTGTCTTGTGCGATAATAACTTTGACCTTTGAAAGTAGGCCTACCAGTAATTTATAATGTCAGGAATATTGGACGAAAAGAAAAGGTAATCATTTTTTGGTACACATTTTCTTTTGTAGCGTGGGGAATTTTTAGTTGTGTGAGTATAGCACATGATCAGTGGGTAGCTAGTTCAGTATATGGTCAGTGGGGTAACTAATGTATAGCATATGATCATTGTTTCTTTCAGACATTTGCCCTGGGGGCATTTAAGATTTTCGGAGGTGGGGGGGGGGGGGTTGCCAGTGGCCTGAGGCGTAGCTAAAGGGTGCTAGATGGTGCCAGACTAGCGGGGGCACCAAAATGGGCGTTGGTGGTATTTAACGGTTGGAAATAATTAGTTTCAGAGTTGAGGGGATGCTTAAAAATGAATTATGTCCCCTGACACCAAAAGCTCTAGATACGCCCCTTCCAGTGGGGTAGAAAAGGGGAGGAAAAGGTTGTTCTCCCAGTTGTCACTTTTTTAATATGGATGTGCAGCATGTTCGGACAACTGCACAGTTTGTATCGTTTAAAGGGAGAGTGGTACAAACAGTAGCGCGCCTCCAGGCAGTGTATCCATCGTCACCGAAATTAGCAATCATTTTCATCAAAGTGTAGGGCAGAAATAGAGGGCGCCGATGAATCTTGCTTTTATTTATACAAAGATCATAAAGGTAAACTCAGCCAACCAAGAGCATATCTCTCTGGTAGGAAATGCACTGGAAGAAGTGGAGGCCTTCACATACTTAGGCAGCAGCACTGACTTAAATGGTGGATCCGAAATGGATGTCAGGGCTAGAATTGAAAAGGCTAGGTCAGTATTTGCGCTAATAAAGAAAATATGGGAGTAAAAGGAGCTGACTCTACAGACGAAAGTCATAATTTTCAACACAAATGTCAAAACAGTCCTCCTCTGTGGAGCCAAAACTTGGAGAACAACAGCGAGCATTGCGCAGAAAGTGCAGACCTCCATTAAATACTTGCCATAGAAATATCCTAAACATCAAGTGGCCAAACACCATCACCAACAAAGACTTACAAGAAAGGACATACCAGGAGCCTATTGCTAAAGATTCATAAGGAAAAGATGGGTGTGGATAGGTCACACTCTCCGAAAACTCCCAGATAACATCACCAAACAATCCTTAAAAAGAAATCCTAAGGGCAAAAGTAAGAGAATAGGCCCTAAAAATAGGGCAATGTGCACCATTTGTAACCGCTAGTTTAAATTCTTAATTTAAAAATGATATCTCAATTTTCTAAGGTTTGCATTTTATATAACTGAACATTCAAGGAATCGAGTAGGTTATAATATAATTATGCTAATAAAAGATTTTTTAAAAGCCTAATATCGTCATACAATTTATAATTAACACTTATCCCTACTTTAAAGGTAATGCTTTTATAAAGAAAAATAATTTGAAAATAGATTGTGTATTTTTCAAACATAGCAAGAACTGTCATTATAATCTAATTGTAGACCTTAATATTGATGTAAAGGTATTTAAATACAGTGTTATGAAAGTCTTTAAATTTGCGAAGTTGCCAAAAATAAATGAATAAAATACCGATAAGTGGGAACCGCAGGAAGCAAGCTTCGGCTTATCATCAGGAAAGGAGCGACACACAGTGGTTCTCAACCTTCCTAATGCTGCGACCCTTTAATACACTTCCTTATTTTGTGGTGACCCCCATCCACAAAATTATTTTCCTTGTTACTTCATACAGTGCTTTTTTGGGGTAAAAATATGGGTGCCGGTACTCGGTGACGGATTGCCTAACTTTTAACTACCAGTTCGCACCTCGATGCAAGCTAAATCCCAACAGCAAAGATACTAAATGTCTAAAACAATTTTATTTTATAATTAACCAACTTAAATTGTTTTATTATTACTTTATTAGTATACCGTATTAATTAATAATAAACGTTAAAATACAAGAAAAGTTATAATTTTTCCCACATTGAAAAAGGTGCCGGTATGCCGTACCGGTGCGTACCGGCACAAAAAAAAGCACTGACTTCATAACTGTAGAGTCTAAGTGTTATCCCTTGGTCTTAGGCGACTCCTGTTCGACCCCCAGGCTGAGAACCGCTGTTTTAACAAGATTAGCCTTAATATAAGGAGCATTAAATATATCGAGCGCTGTGGTATTTGAGAGATTCCACTAATTGTAATCAATTAAAGGCACAAGATACTATTTTTTTAAAAAACTGTTTTAAAATGACAATTTAGTCGTTTTTAATTTTAAAAAAAATATAATCGTTTTATTGTTGTACACATTTTGCTCCTGGGGGCACTTGACTTCCAGGTGGGGGGCACTGTGGGCACCGCATCACCCCCACCCCCGAGAGATGCCTGAAAGAAAGACTGCATATGATTAGTGGGGTAGCTAGAGTTTATAACAGCCGTGACGGTCATTGACTTTGCTACCCTTAATTGGCGAAAAATACAACGCAAACAGAATTCACATAACAAATTAATCCATGTGAGGCATTTGAAGTATTGAATTAGAAAGAAAAGAAGTGCCCCCACCCCTCTCCCCGTGCAATAACGATTCGCAAAATTTGAAATAGACACAAAATTAATTTCAATCAAAGGAGTCCTTCCATGGAGCCTCACCTGTGCTCAGAGGCGTAGCTAAGGGGCCAGGGGGGGGGCAGATGTCCCTGGCCTTGGGTGGCAGACTAGTTAAGGGCGACAAAATGTGCTTTGATATTATTTTATTGATGAAAATAATGGGTTTGAGAGTTGAAAAAAGAAAGAGGGGAGGGACGCTTTAAGGGGGGACAGGTAGTCAAAATGCTAATATTTTAAATACATGACTAAGTCAGAA